CTCTTATAAGCTTAATTGTCTTATTGGCAACTTTATTAACAAAAAGTTGCCTTCTAAGAGAAATAATAAAGCAATTATAAAATAGAATAGCTCGTACCGTTGAAAATTATGAAATATATCAATTTGCCAGTTACCAACAGGCATCGCAATCCACACGTTTTTCCCTTAATTTATGTATCTCTAATGGTTTCCAACATAGCAATGCTAATGCATCGAATTTGTAGCACCCTGTCGACAGGCATGGTCATTTTTACACTATCCACTGTACCTTGACAAACAGAAATCGTCCTAGCGCTCATCCGGTTTCGATGGATGGTCAAAGTGCCACCCATTTTGGCGGGTCGGAGTCCAGGCCACTGAGGACTTTATCTGGCACGAACATACCTTGTCAATAGCGGCAGCTGCTGGGATAAAGCTAAGCAATTTGCTTAGGGCTAAGAAGTACTTTTCTCCCAGATAAGACCTAGCCTCGAGTATTGGTCACACGTTTAGGGTGGTACCGCTCCGACTACATTATTCATGATCGATGCTGTCCATGGGAGGGATGTCCGACTTATCGGTGACTCTACTTTAACAGACAGTCTCGGAACCCTTTCGCACCGGCGGGCCGTCGGGGATCAAGCAAGCTCTGTTCTACCGCTACACCAACGAGCCTTGCCCCCCAGAGCTCTCCTCCATGATGCCGCCAAGCGTTGGCCTGCCAGGTAAGCCCGCCTGACTTAGGCCTCCCATCCTAGCCATGTCAAAGTTCGTACAACTAGAGTTAGCCGATATGACCGCTCCTTTGTCCCTAGGGTGTCAAAATTGTGGAATAATCTACATGAGGAGGCTATCCACACGCATTAACAAAGTTTCTTTGGGATCCTCATAGTAGCCGCGGTGTCCTGGCATTTAGGCCCGTGCGGCTGCCTCGGTGTAACAGAAGCAAACTTTCAGCGTCAGTCAACCCCAAAAACCTTCATCCAAGATAATAAAATAACTTTTATAAAACTGGTGTGTTGTAGCTTGATAAGTATTATCTAATTGTCATAATAAAAAGATATTTCGCTTCATAATTGAATACTTTGTTTTATTATAATTTTGAAAACTCTCAAACAATTACTCGGTAAAAGCTGTGGTAACCTTTATAAAATTAATTAAAGAACGAAACTGCTGCGCAAGAATGCGACCTTTTTGGGTTTATGGAAGTTATATAAACGTTGCTAGAACCTTTATAGGAGTAGCGGCATCGCTAGTTTATAAAAAAAAAGAGTTATGTGATGGTTGCTGGCCATTTGCAAAACATAAATTAGTTAGTTGGTCAGTGGCACACTAGCGGTTACATAGTGCACAAAGCAGACATTTTACCAATTTTTTGACATTAATTGGTCTTTTTATATAATAACCATGCAGGACTTTTCCGTATGAAAATAAAGGAGTTGTAAATTCATTTTTTAGTGATATATAGAATGATTTATCTAAACACGCCAAATTTTTAATATGGCATATCGCAAGCAACATAAAACCGATTTTGATGGCATAATGGACGAAAACAAACCTACTTAGGAGTAACGTAAAGCTGACGAACGGTTAAGTTAAAGGTCGGACCCGATTTCCACTTTTTTATTTTTTATCATAATCATACCTTTTTAAGTTCCGTTTCAAGCAGTACTCTTATTGTTGCACAATATTTGGTAGAATTACATTATCAAAAAATTACCGAAATAACTAAATCAAGCACATAACATAATCTTTTCTCTTATTTATATTACGTATTGTTCTTTTTTCTGCCGAACAATACATTCGGAGTATAACTTATAGGGTGTTGATCTTAATAAAATAAAAGGAAATGCAACCTAACTGATTTCGACCCAGGAATTTTGAGCTCTCAAAACCCCTGCAATTTTGAGCATTGTGTCACACAAATGACTAAAAATAGGGTATTCAACCAATAAAAATCAACTAAAACACCGAAGGAGGTGCACGTTTTGCCCACTGCTCAGCTTCATTCATTGGCTTTTTTGTACATACTCAAACACTTCAATATTTAGCTTAAAAGGTGTTTTTGATGCGAATAGAGATAGGGGAGAAAAGCGAATCGGGTGCTGGACTTTTCGATCGTCCGCCTAGTTTTACGTAACTTTTAGGTGCAATATTTTATTATTTATATATTTTATTTTCAGATATCAAAATTCCTCTGTTCATACTACAAACTGTTTCACGGTCCAAGTATGGAATACCCTGTATGCAAACGACCTATTTGAAGTAATATTTGCTATACATTGTCTACATTATTTACATTGACTACCTGAATATCAAGACGAATACAATTATAAATATGTACACCTAAACTGGAATTCAGTTGCTCAACTTTAAGAACAATTTAGTCACCTTTTCAAGTAGATGATTAGGAAATGGTCGACATAAGTCAGAACCTATACTTAAGTAAACGTCTGTGATAGTGTACACGGCCATTAAGTTCCTATCTGTCAACTGTAGCATTCCACAAACGACAGTACTAGGACCTATACTAAGTGAATTATATAACATATCAATGGTAGGAGAAGTAATTAGCTATGTGGCTGACAAGGCCGATATTATGTTAAGCTGAGACATGGGACAAACTAAAGGATTTCAGTGGAAAAGATCTACCAAATGTTGCCACTTCGTTTAATTAATCTCGATTATCAACAGTAAATCATCAAAAGACTTACTATGTGACAGTCTCGTCAAACGTGAAATTATCGGGGAACTATAATTTTCTGAAAATACAATCGGAACCTGCTTCAAAAGAGATAATTAAAAAATTAAGTATGAAAACTTTTATTCGTTCTTCAGCCTACAGCTGTATACTGTTTTAATATGAAGTTATCTGACAGACGGTATGACAGTAAGGCAAACAAAAGACATCTATGGTACCTTGAAATAGCGCAAACGCAAGTAGATAGTGTAATATACATAACCTACAAAAAACATATCCATCTGATGAGCTATTAAAAAAATATGAGTTTCTTGACTCGATGCTGTTTTTATTATCTTGCGATAGATCAATTTAAAAACAGAAAAACATGTCACTTAGGCTTGCCAAATTAGAAACAGGAGAGGCCAGGGTAGAGTACCAGTACTAGCCTCTGTACCTAAGCTCTTATTTCTGCTTATCTTCTACAATCTACATCATTCAGCATCATTCTTACTGAAACTAAGTGCAACCAAAATTAATATCTGAAAAAAGAACTAAGGATGTAGCCCCCATCTCTACTTTAAATAAGGAAGCATGAAGAAGCTGAGCTAGAAATACTTGCTCTGTTTTCTAACGTCTAATTTTTTTATTACGATTGTATGTTGAAATTGTGACTATGCAACGCTTGGACGTGACTTACATGTTTGGGACCTTTTTATCGAACACTGAATGCTATTTACCTGATGTGGACAATTTATACGTATTTTGGACGTGATAAGTGATGATGCACCTTATTTTGATATCATATGCTATTCATCCACGTACAAATACTATTTCTTCCTGTGAAACTCTCATTTGACACGTGTTTCTTGTTCTCTCTTTGTTAATACTTTAGGTAATTCTCTAGCTTAACTACGCCAGCCTTTTTTGCTTCTCCGTCCGAATAGACAGTAGGTTTGGGTTGTAAATGATGGATATGAGATTAAAAATGTCCGCAAATGGGTTAGTTGCAGAATATTGTTGATATTATCTGGGTTTCAAAAGGTATAAACACCTTCTTAATCAGGACATTTGCAGAATGGAAGGGATAATATATATAATGCCATGTTGCCAAATTGAAGGAATATATGAAAATAAACGAAAATACGCATTTCCACGCGTACCAGCTCTCTTAATCTATATAATTTGATCCCCTTTGAGTCGCGGCGCTAATGCATTAGACGTTATTTAGGGTTGTATGAAGTCATACGTACAAATTTAATTATTAAGAATATTCATCAATACGAAAACCTATTAAGTAATGAAATCTGGCAACCTATTATACAGTAAAATATTTCACAACTTTTATGATTGCAATCATTTCTTTCATCTGCACGAAAAAACCAGGGTCTTAAATCATGTTTTCATCAAAAACGGCTGGTGTAGTTAAGCTAGAGAATTACCATATTTTATGTTGTAATGAGCTATGCGACTGCCACTAATATTACAACACACGAAGGACACCTCGCCCTTATGCGCTTGGCTTATGGGTTTGCTGAAACAGATCTTCAAACACGTTCCGCGCTGTGCTTTTTCTTGGTATACCATTTCTTTGCCCTGAATACGGCCATAATTACATTTTCGGAAATACTTTTCAACTAGAAAGCTATCAAATTCAAGGAAAACTTGCCATGAACCTTTTCGTGTTAGGAATAAAGACAAGAACCTGTAAGAAAACTCGACCGGAGCGTAAAATTTGATTTTCAGTGATTGCTAAGAACATACAGAGTAGTCGACAGGGGTATTATGTAAAAAGCCTAAAAAACGTCAAAAACCCGACGAAATGTCATCTTGCAGACTAGGTAATTTTTAGTCTGCAAATAGTTCATTCCACGTTTGCTAGCTATGATCGCTGTTCGCTGACGTTTAAGCAACACGTACAGCTACAAAAGGAACTCACAACAAGTGTACAACAGCTTGTGCCAAGTTAACATCTTGTAGAAAAACCTAAGTTATGTCACAAAAATCCTACGAAATGTCAAAAAACGACAAAATTGGTGTATTTTTTAATTCACCGGTTGAGCAACCGGTGCCACCGGTGGACCAGACATCTGTCCTTTTAATTCAACCGGTTGCTGCCATCACCATACAAAGCTGTCAACAGTGTCAACCATAAGCAGGGCATCCATCAGTGGTGGAATCAACCGGTGAATTAAAGAATCCACCTAATGTTACTTTTCAAGATACGTAATACCCGTGCCGGATGCTTTTTGTGTTGACTACCTGTTAACCCTTGTTATGGGTCAACTCCGCATAGTTGTATGGACTTAAATCTAATAAAAATATTTTTTTTCACTTTTAGCCGTCCCGATGCGTCATTCCTATGGTTCAAGAATCCCTTAAAATCACTGAAGCTCCTCGTGTGCCGACGTTATAAATGGAAGATGATATGCTGTCTTTTGATAGTGTTTGGTGTCCTTTTTCTCGCATCAACTTTGTACTCGCTACCTGGATACACTATTAAGAAGATGCTTAGTGTTTAGGACATGTGTGTCAACGTAATCTCGTCAGCAGTAATATTTGTCTCAAGCTGAAAATACCTAGCATACCAACATTTACAGAGTATTCGAAACTTGGTTCTCACCAACAGAATCTCAGAAACGGTAAGATCTGAGTCAGTTAAATGAGGCCAAAGTTGCGCATCCAGGTAACTAAGAAAATGACACTTGAAAGGTTTCCCAATTATTATTTCGGGAGATGTAAAAACTGATTTTATTTCAGGTTTGACTTCAAAATAAACTGCACGTTAATATTGCCACCTTTTTCGCTCTATGAAGTGGTGTAATTAGAATCTTAATACGAAGTTTTGTCTTGTCTCTTCAATCATCAACTTTAGTTGCTATTTTAAACGCCATATTAAATGTATTAGAATGTAGAAATATTAAAAATATAGATTTACTTATATTATCAATAAAATTAATTAAAATGTAATATTAATAAAACCAGCAATGCATTTACTCCACTATAATGTAGTCAACCACTAGTATCACACCAGGTAACTGAAAATCGGCTTAACATATTGGTACACCTGGGATTCGCAATGTGGATCATACCATTTTCATCATGGTCCACCAAGATTATACGGATGATAAGCAAACAACCTGGAGTAACCCCACATTTTAATTTAGATTGGTTTAAAGTAGTTCTTTTCCTATACAATTATTATATTTGCTACCGCAAACACATCTATATCAGGTATTTCATTTGGATTGTCTTTATCAGACTAAAAGCGTATCGGCATTCCTAAAGGCATACGAACAATTCGATGAAATGCATCTTGCTTCATACCCAAACTTGGTCTTTGTTTTGGATAAGTAGATATTAAATAACATCAAGGAACTTTTTGGAACTAAATGAAGAACTTGGAAAGACTTACCAAATCGGGAGTCCACAAATCTACCAAGAACTTGATAGACAGTGGTCAGAAGGTCAAATTACAGATATATTAAGCTGGCAAATTTATTAGTGAGGTTAATAGATGAAACCTTTACTCAGAAGAGATCTGATTTTTATTTTTGTTTGCCGAACATTGCAACTAGGCACAAAAAACATTCCTTAGCAGAACAATATCACATCATTGAAATCGAAAATAGAGACTGTTTAAAGAGCCGACTGCAAATTTTTTTTTACAACTCGTACAGGTACGATATGTTAAAAATATATATCTCTATAAAAGTTGGACGTGAATGTAAAAATAATCACTACTCCGAAGAGCAACCCCCAGCAAATCGTTTCATGAGGTTTGAGTTTTAACGAAAGCTGGGTTCATCGCGTACCGCAAAATTGTTACTCAGGCTTTTCGACAGCACGTGGCATAGACTGGTCAGTGAGGAGAGGAACCGGAGAAAAACTAACCAGGGTGTAGTCAGCCAGTCCGTCGAGTGAGCTTCGCGAACCCAGAGAAACGACGGGCGTGCGCTTGCACTGCAGTGGAACAATAACTGGCAGAATAGAACTTCGTTGTTACATACGTTGATTTATGGGACTCTATATTGTATTTATTGATGTCAATTACAGAATTTGATAGAACTCTATGTTTCTCTGATCAAATGGAACTACTCACCAGGGTATGGGATATGAAGAACTTAAAAGAAAAAATGTAGTAAGTTATTTTAAGACGAAATTCTTGAGGGTGTAGGGTCATCAAGAAATACAAAACATTGTGCTGACTACCATTTTCATATGTATAGTTATGAGCTATTCCTGTATGTAGTCGAAAAAAAGCGATAAGTGACAATATTACCTTCAAAATGAGCATTTACCCGACCAATTAGTTATTATTAAAAAACTTAAAAAATCGTCGATGCATTTATTTATTATAGAAAAGTACATAATGGTAAATTTGCAATGATTGTCAACAGGAATACTCGACCTTTTCTACAAATTACTAATTATTACCATTTTTTTTTTTTGAGAAAAATGACCAGCGTCTTTGGATCCATAAACTGATCTCATACATCATTCTCTTGCCAGAGACTTAGTTTAATACCGTGTTAAAAATATTACCACATTTTCTTATACTAGCCATGTAAAAGAGCGTCGCCAATATAGCATCTAGTTTTTGCCCCAAAATCAATCAGAATAAGCTCTGTGCCTTTTGACATTTGTAATTCAGATGATCACCACTAAAAAGCTAATTACAAGGTACACACTGAAGAAAAAAGTATGTTTTTTGGACATTTGGGAACTGACGCCACTGTAATCATCATCATCATTAAGGGTTCTGCTACTCCAAATCAAAGTATCTTTCCAAAAATCGGTCAAGGGCTATGAATGTTTCTGTAAGAACACCATTGCTGAGAAACGCGGAAAAACAACACAGCTTATAATACGAGTAAATCGAATTAGTTAACATTTACCTGACATTTTTTTAGGAGGATGCGTTGCAGTGATATGTTAGTATCGATGGAATGTGTAACATTCTTTTCACATTCCACGTGCATAATTAAGCGAGATTCTCTACCTAGATATTCTATCTGAGCAGTTTGGTTGCAATTTCTATTTCAGTTTTATCAAAAAGTTTCGGGAATAGTATTGGAACTTATCAACAAATGATAGCTTGATTCTGTGCCAGCTATATAAATCAGCTGATAAACTCGCAAAGTAGTGTGGCGAAGTTTTCTCGTCGCTTTCGTCTCAGTGTCGGCGATTCCATAATAAATGAAAAGTTTGAGGAAAGACCGAATATTGACTGTTGCGTGAAACTTGGAGAGCTATGTAGAAGCATTAAATGTGCTTAAAAATAACGGACGACATTTTATAGAGAACTAAAATCTAAAATGTGATGTATTAAGGTGCAATCAGACTGAAGACATGTTTCACACGATGAAGGTATTGACATCACGAGCAACAAGAAAGCAAAAGGAATGCAAAACGGTCACCATACAACAAATTACCTATAATGACTGTTACAGGTGTTTATTTGAGCAAACCTACGTAAAAGTAGAGCAACATTTAATACTATCCAAAAAGCTTGACGTGTTTCATCACCTACCACTGCTACTACCTCATCCACAGCGTCAAAAACAACAGACAAAAGGATCAAAGAATCCTCGTCGTAAAATAGTGTAAACATATCTCACAAAACTTTGCACTGAAATTACCAACTTGTCTTGCAAATAAACGAAATAAGATTTGTATGCAGGTAAAACGAAAATACGAAGGAGTCTGGTAATAGTCGTCTTTCCAGCCATTGTTATAACTGATGTAACCATCACTGTCAGTACTGCAGGATAAGCAAGTTGATACAAGGAGAATAGCCCGTTTTGCTTAACAGAAACGGTAACACTCCTTTATTTTGAATAATAAATAAATTAATAGCCAGTTTGTTTGGTTGTTTAAATTTTAGAAAATCTTATAAATTTATCGAAAAATTAATATCATATTTGAAAACTGTACTAAAATGTGGATAAGAGTAGGTGCGTGAAACGTTACCTTTAGATGGATACAAAGAACAATCAACAGACCATAAGAAATAATACGGGTACTGACTCTTTATTTTAATTACGGCATGTTTGTGTTTTATAAAGTCAGGTAAGTCAACGTAAGTGAATATACCAACGCTAACTGGACAACACTAACGCGTGATCTGCTTATGATGCAATATCTCATACAAAATCCAGCTGCTGCCCTTTTCCTCCTAATCATCTAGCTTTTACGACAATTTGTCAACAATATTTTCCTTGTACCACTTTTTGTAATCGGTTCTCAAGCCAATTCGCTTTTTATTGCAAAATGTTTGATACAAGTTTCACATGAAAAAGTGGCATTCACCTACAACAGACATTTTTTTAGTAGTTTTATTACCTGTATCCCTAAGCTTCTAAAAGCTCTTTTGAAAAATATGACTGGATCCTTAGTTCTGATATTACGTAGATATGACACCAACTTCAATTCTATAATTAAAGCACGAGTCTACATGCTGCCAAACTAATTATTTTTTTGCATTTTTTGCTTTGTTCAATGAATTCGCGTGAGTGCCCGAAAGTTCGCGTGAGTTTACGTGAGTGTGGGTGAGTGCTCGTGAGTTCCGGTGAATTCGCGTGGGTGCGCGTGATTTCACACGGGTGCGCGTGAATGCGCGCGAGTTCGTGTGACTTCGCGTGAGTGCAAATACATGAGTTTGCGTGAGTGGGGTACAGTTCGCGTGAGTGCGCATGGGTTTGAGTGAGTTGGCGTTATAGCGGGTGAGTGCGCGTGAGTTCGCGGGCGTGAGTTCGCATGGGTGTGGCTGAGCTGTCACTCGTGCGCGTAAATGCGCGTAGTTTTCTGTGAATTCTCGTGAGTACGCATGTGTTCGCGTGAGTTTGCATGGGTGCGCGTTAGTTTTCACGGGTGCGCGTGAATAACATGAGTTCCTATTAGTTCGCGTGAGTTCTCGTGAGTTCCGCAATTTTGCATGAGTGCGCGTGAGTGCGCAACTCAAGCAATCGTATTTCATTATGAGATTAGTGGTGCACCTCTCAATCGCTTAAGCGAAGACAAGGAATTAGGTCATTTTTAATAGAAACTGTTGCCTCAATAATCATATGGAGATAATTATTGCTAAGTGTTGCAGAAGATTGGCCTTTCTCATACGCTGTGGTCGTGAGTTACAAGACATTAATACAGTTAAGCTTTTATATTGCTCAATTGTTCGGTCAAAGCTCAAATATGTATCAGTTGTTTGGTAGAATTTTTAAAGCTTTTTGATAGCATAACTTGAAAATATTCAGCAATGGTTACTAAAGTACGTACACTTCAAGGAAAATGGCTGATACCCGTCAATTTGCCACACTCAAAAAATTTTAGAAGAAACCTTTGATCTAGAAAGTCTCATGGAAACGCGTGATAAGTGCTCCGTTAATTTTGTGCGTGATACTTTACACAATTATATGGATTGCTGCAATATATTGCATAAATCAAATTTTCTTTATCCACGTTTAAATTCTACACAATTTGGTACATTTCATTTGCCTACTCCTAGAACAAGCACCTAAATATTTTCTCCACTATTTTACTGTTACGGCAGGGCTAATGACGTTGCAGAACAATTTGATATATTTCTGCGAGGTTTTGTCTTTTTTTGCTTTCTTAACTGCACTATGATATTTGTACATATTTGCAAATAGCACCTTTGTGTTCGAACTACTTGCTCTATAATAAAATAACAGGTTTTTTTGTAGTCCGGACTGTGCCCTACTCTGTAAATGGCTGTTGCTGTTGAGTAGTGTATAAATAAATAAATAGATAAGGCAATCCATGAGAAGGGCAGCTTCTCATAAATACTGTGAGAGCGAATAACATGTGTGATTGATTTTGTAGTTTAACTTTACCAAGGAAACAGCTTAGTTGTAAGCTTTTAGATGTATCTATTTGCATTAAATTGTTCATCGTTTTGATTTTTATTAAACACATTATT